ATAGTTGGGAGAGAACTGGTTTTCCATGGCATCAGCGAAAACCTCGACCTTATCCTCCGTTCTGAAGACTGTGACTTCAGGACCTTGGAGGTGCGGGAGTTGTTCTCGCTTTCCGTTTCTGAGTGACTTTGCGACCCTCCAGACAGGAATACTTGAATCAAGCATTCCCGCCATTGCTCGTTGCGGAGTTTGTGCAGTGCGTTTCTCACTTCATGGACAAGATTTGTAGTCCTACGAATGTCATCAGGATGAGAAGACCTTTTTGCCTGTTTAATAGCGGCTTTTTTGTCAGAGATTTTCTGACGAATGTCGGCAGGCAAATAAAGTCTGCCGTGTCGTTGTACAGGAAGTACAGCTGCACGCTGTAGAGCTGCTTGAATGAAACTACTCCACTCTGCTTGAGCGGCATCTATTCCAGACTCATCATCTATGATCGGGATATTAGGAAACTCTCTAAGGAGCAACTTGTATTGCTCCCAATCAATGCGCTTCCTTGGAGGAGCTGCCTCCTCAGAAGTTGACTCATTGCCCACATCCAAGACAACAGGTAGCTGGTAACTAGAGATATCATACAAGATTCGAGAAAAGATACTGTATCTACAGTTTTTAGATATCGTGAAGTCGATGACATCTGGTGCCTGAAGATGGTTGAATGGATGGTGTGTCGGCTCTTCAGTGCTATGTATAAGGTACCCATTTGGCATCACATGGTTGTACAATCGAATCCCACTAGTGCAATTCAACCTAGAATTCCATGCTCGATGTTTGCAGTGGAAGTCCCCTGCCACAATAAGCGGACCCGAGTAGTCCAAAAGGACCTCCAGATCCGCCTCTTGTACCCTGGCATCACATCTGATATACACCGACGTGATCTTCAACGAGACACCTCCCTCGAATGTAATGTAACTTATGAATGCCATCCAGCACAACTAAAGGGTGTTCCATCTATTGCTTCTTTAGTTAACTACCATTTTTTGACATATTAAATGTGTCAACTGCCATGTGTTTAGCACATATGAACTGTCAAGATTTGCCATTTGTTATTATGGATTCTTTAACAACGCAAGAACGCATTTTGGTAGTCCAAAAATATTACGAAAATATTAATAATATATATAAATATTTAAAAGTACTTTTCGCAAACTTCGTGATGAACTTGGTCTACATAATCGTTCCATACAGCGTGGAATTCGGTGGATTATCAATCGTTTTGAGGAAACTGGTTCAGTTGAAGGTCCTAGATCAACATGCCCGTCCGTAAACGTGAATCAGTGGCCGCTGTGAGTGAAAGTGTCGGAGGATTTTGCATGTTGATCTCCACCTACACCCATACGAGATCCAACTAACTCGACAATTGAAGCCAGCAGACCATCAGCAATGGCGTATATTTGTCAATAGGATGCTTGAAAAAGGAGAAGGATTTTCGGCTAAAATAATCTTTTCAGACGAGGCACATTTTTACCAGAGTGGCCACGTAAATAAGCAAAACTGCAGGATTTGGGATTTGTGAAATCCACTCGAGATCCATGAACAACCTCTCCACGATCTAAAAGTAACTGTTTGGTGCGGATTATAGGCTGGTGGCATCATTGGACCGTTCCTTTTCGAGGATGAACAAAAAAAAAGCCGTGGATTTTTTTGCCGAAATTGGAGGGTGTTGATGCCAACGACTTTTAGTTCTAGCAAGACGGTGCAACTATGTACACAGCTCGCCAAACAATCCAGTTATTGACCGAGAAATTTCCAAATCGCATTATTTCGAGATATTACGACGTGAATTGGCCTCCAAGATCGTGCGACTTGACGGCCCTGGACTATTTTCTCTGCGGATTTTTGAAAAGTAAAGTGTACGCGACTGCCTTACGTGCGATTCTAGGCCTTAAGCGCAACATTAGTACCGAAATTGTTTCTGTGCGCTAATACTGCAAAAAGTTACCGAAAATTTTGATGTTCGCATGATATCACGTCAAAGGAGCCGCGTCGTACATATGTGCGATGTCTTATTTCGTACATAAATAGACATAAAGACCGATCTACAATTTTTGATAGAGTTCGGTTTCACACTCACAAAAAGTGTGTTTTTTTAGATTAAGAAGAGAAGGAACGGTTGGAACACCCTATATTACGTATAAAATTGCAACTACTGTTGACATAAACCGTTGTTGTCTAACAAAGAAGCTACTGGAAAGAAAATGGATCACCTGGCTAGGTCTACGAAGCTTATTCCCCCACCACCTTGCCCTACGGGCTCAAGAGGAGGCACATGCCCAGGACCTGGTTTATAGGGAAGGTCCAAATGCCCACAAATCAAATGAAATTACTAAAAAAGTCTGATCAACATAAAAGTACTCTTCTTGAGTTTTTTGAAAAAGTCATCGGATTTAAAGGTATTTTAAGTTCATAAAAAACAGGGTGATGTTACACTTTTGACATAACCACGTATTTGGGGGGATATTGCAGGTTTAACGTGTATACAACAGCGTAATATGTAATTCCAAAAAAAATCTTGGATGGAGCACTTTTTATATAGAGCATCGATTATCAATCACAGGATGGAATGGATGCGAAGTTTTACAGCGCTGCATTATATTTTTAGTTCATTTGACCTTTACTGTTTAAGTTACTGTTTGTATCTGTTGTTTTTGATTATTTATTGTTTATGTTATTTCAGAAAATATTGTTTTAGTTTACTTATTAGCCTATTTTTATTAATTTTGTTATTATATTTTAGTTTATCCATTTGTCGTTTTTCCACTATTATTTCCACAAGAGACTGTTTTAGATTATTTATTCAATCATTTTTAGCAAATATACCTTTCTAATTCTTTTATTTCTGTTATCATATCTTCTGTGGTCTATTCTTCAATGTCACTTGTTTTGTATTTAACGTCTAGGAATTGTTGGAAAACGGTATTTGGGAAAAACAAGTTTCCATATAAAAATTGCTCAATCCAAGATATTTTGTGTGGAATTACATATTACATTGTTGTATATGCGCCAAACCTGCAATAACCCCTAAATACGTGGTTATGTTAAGTGTACCATCACCAAAAACAGTTTATTGCAATGGTAAAAATACATTTCAACGAGTTTGTCGCAAAGTCGAAAACACGCATGTTCAGATCCTTTTTGACAATCTCTGGCGATTTCGTTCTGCCCCTAATGTTTTCGTTGTCAAAAGTTTCTATCACGATAACTGGGATCTAAATGTATGGGCCCTTCTTGTTATAAGGACGCTTTATTTGCAGTGTCATCTGGGAGTAACAACAATCAGCAATCAATCTAATGCTATTTTCTTTGGTTTTCAGTTACTAATTCTCTTGATATTTTCTGTATAGATATAAAAATTAGAATGGGATAGGCCCCCGCGTTCTTTGAGAAAATTCAAATTCAAATTCAAAATATTTATTTTGTCCGAGTAAACATTACAATCAAAGGAAATTCTACAATAAACAATGACGAAAAGGGACAGTGTCTCGATTATGGAACCGATACATGGAACCCTTTAAAACAAAGAGTCCATGCGAGAAAGCCCTGAAAAGTAGTGAAATACGGAAGTCAATAACTGTGCAAACCAATACAGAAGCCTATGATCGTACAATGTCACCTTCTTTGTTGGGAAAATTATGTGAGAACTGGTATATCACTCGTATGTGTAAAAATAGTGTATGCCTACTGAGGCGACGCGATGCGAATGGAACCGCGCCAACATTTATTTTTGTGAATGTGAAACGTCGTTTCTCTTCGCGTCGCTTCCCTACGCTTCGCTTCCATTCGCGTCACTTCCTTAACGCCGCTTTCCTTAGCTTCGCTTCCCTTAGCGCCGCTCCCCTTCGCTTCGATTCCCTTCGCTCCCCTTCCCATCAATAAATATGCACCTTAAAGAGGTTTGCGACTTAGATCTGACAACCGAAATTTCTTCACAAAAACTGACATAGCGTTGTAAGCGTCCCTCAATGTGCGACCATGCTCATCGAAAAACAAAACCTGGTGGGGTCATTGTTTGATTTGTGCATTAACTTCTAATTTAGTTTTATGACCGTATGATGTTATTGTAATGGAAATGAGTATGTGGTGGTGCATGTAATTTCGCACACCGTATGACGACGATCAATCACAGACCAGTTCAATTATTGCGGACCCCAGATGAGCAACGGGGGAGGTTAAATAGCTAAATGCGTGGTAGATTCGGTAGAGTAGAAACGTCAAAGAATGAGGAAAGCCAGAGACAAAATATTGGAAATTTGAAGACTGTGTAGATTGAAGTTACATTTTTTACTACATGTTAATATACTCGTCAGAGTATATTGTCCTTTATTTTTTTGCAAATAAGTTTATTCTCTTAGCAAAGATACATGAACAGCTTGTTAATTTTTATATTATATCGGACACCGGGGTGATTTCTTATCCACTAACGTTCAAAAATTATCGGTTTTGAAACCGTTGATATCTGCTGGAGTACTATGAATTTATGACTGACCGATATATGGTGTCTGTCGTATGCCCAATTATTTACTTTCCAGTATTGTTAACTGTAAATACGATCTACTTTGGTGGCATGCGGATTAGAAGCAAAGGAGATGGGAGATATAGTGTTATTTCAGCTAAAAGTAGGTTCTAAGAATTATATGTGAAAAAAATGATTATTGAAAAAATAATTTTCAAAACCTTACATTCCTCTAATTTGAAAAATATGTCGATGCATTTTTGCCAAAGTAACGTAAGTGAAATTTTTGGTGAACATCATGTTTTTCCATTAACGTAAGGCTTTTATTGTCGAGAAGGTACTGCCAAAGTGTAGGAAGCCTAGATTTTACTTTAAACCTTTGTTTTTAACTTTTTTGAAAAAGTATGTCAAGAATTTTTTAAATCATATCCGTAAAAGAAACGTAACTTTAACACTATTTCCATCATAGTAATGCAAGCTAACGTTTTTTACCGCCATAATAACGTAAGTCCCGGTCGGTTTCTGCGACTTACGTCAGATTTTCGCAGTCAGTGTTTGGCTTACGACAGTGTAAGGTTCGTGCTACCATCGACTAATTATTGATTTGAGGTAAGTAAATAATAACGACATTTTTTTATAGTTAGAATTCAAAAATATTACAATCTTAACTAATATTATGTAGGTACATACCTATAAAATTCCATTTCATATTTAATTTCGTTCATTTATTACAAATGATTGTGTGAAAACCTCAAAGCCTGTGAGAAATTTGCAGGAATGAATCGGTTGAAGTTAAAAAAACCTTTTTTTTGTAGTTAGAATTTATAAATATTAAAACCTTAACTAATATTATGTATCTACCTATAAAACTCCCATTTCATAGTTAATTTCGTTTATTTATTAGAAGTTATTCTGTCATAACCTCGAAGCCTGTGAGAAATTTACAGGAATGAATCGGTTGAAATTAGAGAAAGACTGTTGTATTTGTTTCTATTCTAATTTTTCTCGAAGCTATGAAACATTGTAACCATAAATGCTCGGTTACTTTCAGATTATGTCTATGGTCAGTTCACGAACAAAAAGGATTTTGGCAGCTCTTAGCCAAAATGATTAATCGAATAATGTAAATTCTGAGGAAGAAATCGGGTCTATGCCGATATCAATTATTTCAAGTGACAATATTTTTGATCTAGATAATTCCGAAAATATTTTAAAAACTACTTTAGTAAATGAAGACGTAATCGAAATAGATCAATCGAAATAAGAGAAACGACAAAGTTTAAAAATTGTCGAAAACATTTTGTCTGAATTATAAGAAAAAAACTGATTTTTTAACGTATTTTCAACACAATGTATCTCGGAAATGAAACATTTCCGGACCCATGTTTATCGCAAATTTGTTGTTCTGTTTGTGGTTGAAGTTTTGAATACTAATTTAGTGACACCCTGTATAGAGAATTCCCGTGTTATTAAGACTTTATTAAATACAAAAAACTGTTAATGAAATACAAATATAAAAAATGAATACATATTTGCAAGTTATCCTGAAGTATTTCTTTGTTCAAGTTCGAAAGCGGCAAGAAAAGGCAGTTTCTGAACCTGAAAAAATTTACAAGCAACTGCTTCCAATATCCGAAATGAAGAAAAGGGATTTGAAAAAGCTTTGCAAAAACAATGTCATACCTGCCAAGTTTCACGATGAATTCTTTAAATTAAAATGTAAGTCTTCTCTTCCAGATGAGTTAGCAGAAACTGATGCAGTGGATGACAATAAAGATGAAAGCTCCAAAACTTAAAAAAAATATATATATTTTTTACTAGTCAGAATTTCATATTTTCTTTTGTAACTTTATTTTGTGTTTTCTTTAATAATAATAATAATAATATTTATTTACTCTAAAATACAGGGAACATGAAACGAGTAAATAAATATGATATATCCATAGGAGGACAACGCCTGTGCATGGATCATATGTATGTTGAATTGCAAAATATAATAAAATAGAGAGAAAAAAGAAATTATTGGTAAGAATGGTAGAGCATTTATTGTGTAATACTTGAGATTATTTTATTAATTTGATTTCTCCCAATCGTGTTAATAAATTTTTTTAATTTTTTTTTGAAGCCTAATGTATTGCGTAATTGTTTTAAATTATTTGGTAAATGTTCGTACAATTTTGGAGCTATATACAGGTGACATCGTTTTATTAGGGATTTGTTTGGTTTAGGAACATTTTTTGCGCGTAATTTAATAATTAACGATAGTTTTTAATTATTTCCAAAATACTTTAAGTGCTACAATTTGCCGCATCATTAGACGTATCTCTGTACTTACGTTACATTTTTGATAAAGACTTCGAGATTTCTGAACCCGTAAAGTAACGTAAGTATCAATTAACCACTAAAACTATACAAAAACTTCAAAAATCATTTTTTTTAATTAAATATAGACCTCAGAGAAACACCCTGGTAAATTTTGCACAATTTAAAAAAGTTTAACCAGGTTAAATTAAAAACACGTTTTTTCTCCGAAATCGTTTTTGGTGACTTACGTTACTTTGGCAAATACATATCGATGTGCCGAAAATAGATCCCGTAGTGAAAAATGTCGGTATCCACTAAGAGTTCAATTCTTAAGCAAGGATATAAAAATAAATATTTGATATGTAGTTTTTAATTCCTCAACGAGCAAAATTACAGATGTGTATTTTTTTCTGCTCATTCATCTCACCTTCTTGTTGCGAAAGAAATCAACAGTTTCACCATTTCTGGGAGGACTTCAATTTTCATTTTCTTCAATTTTTGCCATTATTCTTTTCAAATTTGAAAAAGGACTCAAGATCGTAGTGGATATTAGATTTAGACAACTGAGGGAGGTCCTGTTTCTGCGACTAAAACAAAAAGCTTGTATATACAACAAAGCTTAAACCAGACATCTGAATTAATTATTTGAAGGCAAACATAGCTCATGGTCTTTCAAGAGAATATATAAGGTGTCTCACATAGAACTGCAGCAATCGATTACCGAATAAGTTGCCGTGAGACACTTATGAAAATTTGGCCTTATAATCTCTTTCGGTTGTACCGGAAGTAGATACTAACGTGTTTATTTTTAGAACACCCTTGATGTTTAATTTTTTGATTGTACACAAGTTTGTGAATGGATTCTATGTATATTATCTAATAGCTAAGTCTAACCAGATATACCAATTTTTTCTGGTATTTTTGCTTTTCCTTGTGATGATAAGTGACAAGTTTCTTATAGTTGGGGACCCGCTTCAGTAAAATTTATTAGAGACTTTGATAACAAATAGCGGGTAGTCAAAAAAAGAAAAAACAGTTAAATTTTAGAAAAGCCAAAAAGTCAATCTCTTCATATGAAAGCCACCCTTTTTTAATTACTTCATCGTCTTAAGCACTGAATAGAGGATCAACTTTGGATCAGGTTGTCTACTTTGCAAATAAATAGTTTGCATGATATATGTAAATATTAAGGTATCTACTGTTTACTATATATGGTATCATGCTGTCGTCGCATCATGGAGTACTAAGATCATTTTACGGTAAACTAGACCAGAAAATAGGTACATTTTTACTTCCCACGCCTGCAGAATATCAAAAAAATATTACATTTTCCGTACTTGCACGTGTTATTAAAAAAGGAATTCGCTTTAATTTGGTATTCTTGATTAAGGGTCCACTTTACGGGGAACCATAATTAATCCTGAATTACTATTAGTATCTCATACAATTTTATTAAAGAAACTAGAAAGTGTTGGAGTGCGTAGTGGAATTCTGAACTTATTTGAGAACTATTTGGCTGATCGATTACAACAAGTTAAGGTAGGGTCAGATTTAAGCAGCATTCAAAAGATCAAAATAGGTGTGCCTCAGGGGACGGTTTTGGGACCAACACTGTTCCTCATATACATAAATGAACTACTTCAATGCAATTTCAACTGTAAAATGATATCATATGCAGACGATACTGTTTTAGTTTGGACTGGTCATTCATGGGATGACGCAATTCGGAATGCCGAGTTGTCATTAAATAAAGTCAAATGCTGGTTGGATAACAATTTACTTAAACTTAATATCTCTAAAACTAAGTATGTAACGTTTTCTCCAACCAAAGCAGGCATGCCATTACAACACCGAACATTAATTATAAATGATAGTGCTGACACTGTCGAAAGAGTTGAAGTTATTAGATACTTAGGAATCACTGTTGATAGTAATTTAAAATGGCAGAGTCATGCCGAGCTTTTGGCATCGAAATTAAGGAGAATTATTCATAAGTCTTTCATTCTTAGGAATATTTTAAGCAGAAAGAGTCTTCTCTCAATATATAACTCGTTTGTGGGGTCTCTACTAACTTACGGGATAAGTATATGGGGAGCCGCATACACTAGTACTTTAAAAATACTACAAACCACGCAAAACTATATTGTCAGGAATATTTTTCGTATCCCATGTAGGTCAAGTTGCAGATTTGTTTACATTGAAAATGATCTTTTGAATGTTAGAGGTTTATACATTTTTGCTGCTCTGAAATTTGTTCACTCCAGAAACAATGCTCCAACCAGCCACGCTTATGAAACAAGAACTAAAATAAACATAAGTTACACTTATAAAAGAGTGAATAAATCTGTTTGCCAAAAATGCATAAAGTTTGATGGTATTAGGTTGTATAATAAATTACCCCTAGAATATAAAATCGAAGTATAGTTTCAAGAAAAGAGTTAAGAAGTTCATCTTAAATAACTTTGACATGCTTTCATCGACTGTAGCTTGACTCAACTCACTCATTTCGTTTCTATCTAATGTTTTTTTTATTTCTTTTTTTATATATATACATTTGCTCATAATATACTTTATGACCATTAGCCATGGATTAAATTCGTATATTGTAACACACACACAATCTTATAGCTTAGGTGTCTATTCTTTTGTAGTAAATTGTAATACTCTTGTTTCTCTGCTTAACCTTTAGGCAAAATTTTTATTGTTTAAACAACATAGTTTGACCTTACTCGAAATATCCCTATATTATCATATTTCAGATATTCATATTTTACGTACTCTATGTTTATACTTCTGAGTGTTTTTAGTATGCTTCTGTACTATTGTTATGCATTTTAGATTTGTTTATTCAGACACGTAATTTAGGATTTGTGACGACAAGATTCAGACATTTACCCTTTACGAAAGTATACAGAATTTTCACAATTCATATACCGTTACTTGTTGGTTCTAGATCTAATGCTAGTATCTTTGCTTAGATTTCTGTTGCAATCTTGGTTATTCAGGGTAGCAAGAGCATACAAGCTCAACTGTTTTTTATTTAAATTGTACTGAATTTGAATAAACTTGAAACTATTAATCCGTATTCCAACATTTGTACGACAACATCTCGGACGTGCAGACATGCTGACGAAAGGTTCAATTGTTGCTTACGCCACGAGTACTAAGGACGATCGACCATACCAAGAGACCTGGAGGTGTTTTCTGTCATTCCACCGTACCGAATAAATCCGGAAGAAAAACGGCAACACTATACCAAGCAATATTATCCAACAACTATTTGTATATCTATATTAAGATATTTGCTATAAGGGTATGTTTATAAAAATATCTTTTTATATAGTCACCTTTAAACCGTCCTTAAAATGTATTTTACTAGAGTTGCACCCTATTGGTTTTTGCTTATGCGACTATAAAAGTGCGTTTTCCCGCAGGACGAGTTTTATTTTAGAATAATCATTTATCTTGGGTTCACAACAATAGGTTGTCACACGAAGGGGATGACACCCCGATACTGTGCGCCCGCGTTACTCTCCGAAACATTGGCGGCTCTGAGGGGGAAATATACGGGACCCTCAGAAGCGGGGCAGGTTATTCATATTTAAAGTTAACGATACTAGTTAACAGCTCATTGTAAAAGCTAGTACATATTGCATCTTAAAAAATTTCGTGAATCCACTGTAAAAACGTCAAAAGGACATAAAATATGTCACGCCATGTTTCTAAGTGCCTTCTATTCGTCATTGTCAGTCAGAGCGGTCCGTGGGACATTCTCTCTTTGTTAAAGTATCGTAGGTCAGTAGGTCTGTCAGGTCTGGTTGCTCAGATACCAGACGAAGTCAGGGAGAAAGAAAGGAAGAAGAAAGAAAGGAAGGAAGGGAAAAGAGCAGCGAAGGTGAGGTGCGCCGGTTAAAGGGATGCCTTTTATTGTATACGGTTATTTTAAATTAATCCAAAAATTAATTT